TATCAGAGGGGTCAAGGTGTGCACAGAGGAGGGGGCCTCAGTGCCCCTGGAGATTTAGGGGAGCTTAGCCCAGCTCAGCTCCAAGCCATCCAGTTCCATTTCTCTTCTTCTTTGGGCTCCTGTTGGCCCTTTCTCAGCCACATCTTCCACATCGTGCTCTTCCAAACCCCAGTGTGCATAAGAGTCACTTAGAGATCTCGTTAAAAGGTAAATTCTCTTAGAGCGGGTAGAGGGTGGAGCCTGAGATTCTGCATTTCATACATGATTCCAGGAGGTGGCACTGTTGCAGCCAGACTGTGCAACCCACTACAAGGTGCGGGGTGGGGGGGCGGTTCCCAAGGCTGTTTCTTCCCCTGCCTTGTTGCAGCCTCATTACCTCAAGCCAGCACCAGGGCTCAGCCCACAAGCGCTCTCCCTGCCTCTCATCCTAGACTGTGCAATATGGTCGCCACCAGCCATAGTGCCTACTTAAATGCAAATTAATTAAAACTTAAAATTTCCTCTCCTATTCATAGTAGCAGAAAAGATATCGAGCACTTTCTTCATTGCAAAAGTGCCGTTGGATGGCACTGCGCAATAATCTCAGCTCCACCTAAACTAACCACAAACTGGCTGCCAGCCTCACCACACCATCAGCTCCTTGAAGGCAAGCTCTCTGTTTGTCTTGTCATTTTTCTCTAGCTGCAGAACCTACCCCATATCCTTTCTCTCATTTGACAAATATGTATTGATCATCTCCTATATAGCGGATGCTGTGCTTAGCACGGGGAGCAAGTGGAGCCCAGAGGTGAACAAGACGAACACGGTCTGTGTAATTGCAGAGGTCACAAAACAGGTGCTCCATATATATGTCTTCATTGAAATGAATAAGTGAATAAATCATCCACAGACCACCCCCAGGGAGATCTTCGCAATGATTTTCATAATTCTCCCCAACCCAGACATTTTTAATACTTGCTTTCAATCTGCAGAAGAAGATCCAGATGGGGTATGAGGCTCTTCTGAGAGGCAGAGATGCGTGATTAGCATCTTCATTTGTTACGGCTGCCGTAACAAACACCACCGACTGGGTGGCTCAAACATAAATTGATTTCTTCCCACAGCCCTGGGAGTTAGAAGTCCAAGATCAAGGTTGTCAAGAAAGTTGGTTTCTCCCGAGACCTCTCTGCCTGGCTGGAAGACAGCTGCCTTCTAGTGTCTGCGTGGTGGTTCCTCTTCTTATAAGGACACTGGTCAGATTGGATTAGGGCTCACCCTAATCATCTTAGTTTAATTAATTTTTTTTTTGAGATGAAACCTCACTCTGTCACCCAGGCTGGAGTTCAGTGGCGCAATCTAGGCTCACTGCAACCTCCGCCTCCTGGGTTCAAGCGATTCTCCTGCCTCAGCCTCCCAAGTAGCTGGGACTACAGGTGTGCACCACCATGCCCAGCTAATTTTTGTATTTTTAGTAGAGACGGGATTTCCCCATGTTGGCCAGGCCAATCTCGAACTCCTGACCTCAGGTGACCCACCCTCCTCGGCCTCCCAAAATATGAGATTATAGGCATGAGCCACCACAGCTGTCTGCTTAGTTTAATTTAATCACCCCTTTAAAGGCCTTGTCTCCAAATACAGTGCCACTGGAAAGAGCTTGGAATCAGGCCTTCAACATATGAATTTGGGAGAGACACAGTTCAGCCCATAGCAATTAGAAATACGATTTTGGAAACTAACGGAACTGGGTCCTGGCAGCAGCTCTGCAATTCCTGCCAGTGGAAGGGGACTTGACTTGTCTGAGCCTGTTTCCTCTCCAGAGAAAGGTGCTAAGCCTACCTCCCTCCTGAAGCTGTCAAAAAAATTACAAGCAATTGCTTGCATGAAACACTGAGCAGAGCCAGCACATAGTACAGCCACTGGTGTCACCACTCTACCTCCCCGATCCCCCAGCAGCAACCCTTCCCTTTCCTGTGGTCCCTGAGCGCCCTGAGCCTCGCCTCCCAAGCCTTGGTTCCCAGCCCAGCTCCTCGACTTCTCTCCCTCTCATCACATTCAGACCTTAGTCTTCCTTCCCCAACTCCTTCAGACCCCCCTTCTCTAGGTAGCCTTGCTGTCAGAAGTCAGTCCCAGCTCTTCTTCTCCGAGCTGTGATTAGCATTTCTGTCAATTCCACACCAGCACTCAATTAACACCTAGGAATTAAAACCCCACGATGTTAATTTGTCTGCTAACTCCCCTGCCCCACCACAGTTATGCCACCTTCCCTGTTAGATGTGAGACATTTGAGATCAGAGCCCACCATTATACCCTTTAGTCTCTCTCATAGCACCTGTCAAAGTGTCTCAAACACAGTAGGTCTCTATCAACCAACAGAGTTTGTGGACATAAAAATACTAATATATGGTCAATATTCACTAAGAATGGGGGGGTGTCTGTTTAGCATTTAAACAGCCATGGGAAACAGAAACATCAAACTCAGGCTCAGGCTGCTGGTTCTCTCTTGGGGGAAGAGGGGGTAATCCTGTGTGGATTTCACAGTGTTGGCAATATCTGGTTTTGTTTTTTTGTACTGGACCGCAGCTACTGTACTATGTTAAATATTGCAAGATAAAATGTCCTTACTTGATAGGCATCTGCTGTTTAGAGATGAGCTTATTAACATATACAAGGAATGTATCAGGAATTCTCCTGACGAGAGAAAATGCTTAAAATACTTGTTTTAGAAGCTATTTAGTTAGGATTTCAGAGTGTAACTCAACAAACTCCTTTAATTAATATTTTATCTAACAGGAAATATTTATGAGACATTACCAGTCTCATAAATGCAAATAGAATTTCTATAAATAGGAGAAAAAGTAATTTTCTGCAAGTCTCATATTCTAAAGAGAAAATCTTTAACTGTGAAGCCATCTCCTGTGCGATGAAAGAAGGTAAGAGAAGCAGATGAAGGGAACAGAGGAGGTGGGGCTGTCCTCTAATTAACAGTGATAATACATAAACATTTTCTGTTGCTTTCAAGCATCTCCTCAGCAATTTTCAGACAATAAAAGACACACTTAGCACCCGGCACTCCTCCCTGAGTAGTTCTCTTATTCATTTCTATCCTCAGATGTTGTCTGTGCTCTTTGAGAGGCTTGGTCATGGAAAAGCTAAAGCTCCTATAAGTTTGCAACAATCATTCAGGACTAGACGCCCCAAATTTCTCGTTTTTCAGTTCTCAGGTGAGACCTGGACACAGATTTTTGTGTCTCCTGATCCAAGGTCCCATCACTGAGAGAATCTTTGCAAAACAGTATTTCCCAGAGCAGCCTACATTTTGCTTTCAAGTCAGTCCAGCTCCCTTCCCGCCCACCCCCCGACCCCTGCCGCCACCCCGTAATGGCAGAAGGAGTATCATGGTCTTTACATATAATCCAAAAGCAACCGCTAACCCAGGACAGAGCCCCTCCTCAGCCCTCAGCAGATGATTATAGTGCGTGCTGTCTGGACCTGAGAACTGCACAGCCAAAGCCTCTCCCAAGAACTAGGCAAGGAAGGAATTAAGAACTTTCTCCTCATTAGTATTCAGCCCTCAGGTCAGCCAACATACAGTAAGGTGTGTGAGCACCTAGGGAAGCTGAGTCCCTAAGGGGACACAGAGCTTTCCTGTTAGCGACGGTTGTGGCCACATTTAGTGATCACCCCCCTCTACAGAGAGAAGAGGGGCATCCAGGAGGCCCACTGTGGCAGGGCTGCTCTGAGAACTGTCCCAGAGGAGGGTGCCTGGGCAATGGGCTCCATGCACGCTAGCCTCCAAGGCAAGAGGACCCCCAAGGCACTATTAGAGACCACATTTCCATGTCACTGTGCTTACAGGAGAGGATGGACTTGGTGCCCTCCAAGTATTAGTGACAAGCATTTTTCTCATTGCAAGGTAATAAACCAGTTTTCTGATCATAGACGTCTTCTCTTAGCACTTGTGCTAGGTGCTGGGGGTACCCTACTTTTGACCAAGTTGTGTCTGCCCCTGAGGGAGGGGGCTGGCATGGGGGATGTTGACCGAAAAACGCTGGGTGACAGAGAGGGGCCAGAAGGAACACCACCCGGGGAGAAGGGCCACCCAGAACAACCGGTCCTCAGAGGCACCCGCCGGCCCTGCCCAGACAGCAGGCCTCCCTTCCAGTGTGCCCTGGCAGCTGCCTTTCCTAAGGCCCCTAAGATTTAAAGAACACACTCTGGGCATCATCTGTCCTCAAGGCAGGGAGGAATCCAAAAGGGAGAGCCGGGAGGCGGTGCGGAGGACGCCGGCTCTGCCCACGCCTGGGTAAGGTTGAGCTCTCGCGGCCGCTCCGGCCTCCGGTCCGTGCAGGGCGCGTTTCCAGCCATCGCCGCCCAGCAGACGCCGCACGCCCGGAAGAGAACGTCCGGGGTCAGCAGCGAGCCCGGGGACAGCTGGCCTGGGTCCTGTCCCTGGACCTACCCCACCTGCCGCCGGCGGATCAGGCCCCGGACCCTCCCTCCACGGCGGGTGCCAGAGCCGTCGCGCGGGGGATGCAGCGCCCAGACTGCGGCTCCCCCGCCTTCCGAAGGAATTCCCCCATCTGCTGCATCCCTCCCGGGAAACCGAGAAATGCTGCCAACCGCCGGCTCCGCGCACCGTGGAGCGACCGAGCATCCCCGCCGAGGCTCCGAGCCAAGATTTCTGCCCTAATAGTTTCTCCCTTCTTTCTGTCTGCTCCACCGCACCCACTAAACACGCGGCGCTCACACACGGACACGCGTGCACACGCGGCGCTCACACACAGGCGCGGGGCGCTCGCGCGCGCGCGGGTCTCGGTCCCTGGCACCCGCAGCAGGGGTGCAGCCGGGGGCAGGGGGAGACAGGGGAGGGCGCAGGGGGCCGCGGGTACCCTAGGGGAGGGCTGGACGCCTGCCGGGCTCTCCCGCCGCCTTCCTCCTCCCTCCCAGTCCTACCGAGCTGACGGCGTCCCGGATCACATGGAGCCCCCGCCCCACCCCAGCCCGCCCCCCGCCGCCAATGCCGGTGGCCCTTCCAGTCGCGTTACTATCCAGAGATTCATCCGTACCAGGGACGGAGGGAGAGAGGAGGGGAGAGGGAGGAGGGGACACACACACACACACACACACGGGGGGGTGGGGAGAGAGAGAGACTGCCTCCAGCTGCTCTCGCTGGAGAAAGGGAGTGACCCAAGGGGCCGCGAGTGAAGGGGCAAGATGGCTTAGGCACCTCTGCCCAAACGACCCCACGACAGGGAGAGGTTCCAGCTACAGCTCCTCCGTGGGGTCATGGCAGGGGCTGGGGAGTCCCCCCGAAATCCCTGAGCGCCCCTTGCACTGCCGCTAAGGGACACCTCAGAAGTTAGCCTCAGTGGGACTCGGCAGCTCCGATCTCAACAAGTAAGTTGTCTTTTTTTCCTCCTCCATTTCTCCCCCGGCTCCCGGGTTCTGGCGGGCAGGACGACACGCTCAGGTGTCCTTCGCAGGGGCAGCAGGCTTTCACAGGGAACCTGCTAGATTGGGAGCCGAGGGGATAAGGAAAAGCTTAGGGCACGTCTTAAGTTTAGCCAGGAAATTGGAGATCTCCGTAACTGCAGGATGCCCTGGGCGTGGGGAGCCCAGCCATAAACACCTCCACTTCTGGCTCTAGACCAGGGCTACCTGGGGGCACCCCAGATGTCCCAGCAGTGGTGTGAGAGGCAAGGACAGTGACTATGGAGGTGTGGGGTGGGGTGGGGAGGACATTATTCATCTAGTAGGACCCTAACTTCAAATGGGAGCAGGGAGGGCCAGGGTGGGGGCCGTGGCCCCTCAGCCTTAGATTCCCAGTCTAATCTTGCTTTCTCTTTTAAGTGTGGCCAAATTGGAAACACAGCCTTGTGATTTCTGCCCCCCTCACTGCCAGGGTCACTTCCTGCATACCTCCCTATCTCTTTTTAAACAGCTTTCAAAGGGTTCAGAAAGGCCAGGGGTGAAGGCTTCGAGGACAGAGGATAGGGAACAGGGAAGGGCAACCTTGTCATTGCTCCCCTTCTCTTCAAGTCAGTGTTTCTCCCGGCAGGGCTGTTGCTCCCTGGTTTTATCTGTGCCTTCCCTCAGACAGGGCTCCCCCAGGGCTGTGGAGGGCCTCAGGTCCAGCCCCCAAAGTTCTAGGGCTGCCCAGAACCTGTGAGCAAGGCCAGCCTAGAACCTCTTCTAGAATTCTTTTCAAACACCAGGAGAAGATCAACAGGAATGTGCCAAGTACTTGACTCTGTTTCAGTCCTTTTAATAAGCCGAGATTATCACCTTCCTTCTACAGGTGAAAAATTGCAGCCCAGAGAGGCTGTGCCACTTGTCTGAGGTGCACAGCTCATAAAGGGATATTCCTTCCTAGCTCTGACTCCAAAACATGCCTCGTTTTCATCATAAGCCATGCTTCATAGGGCTTTCTTGTTCCCAAAGCACTTTTCCATGTGAGAAAAAGGCTAATATTTATGAAACCAACGTGCTGAGCTCAACGTTCATGAGCTCATCTTGACACCAGTCCTGTGGGCAGAGCCTGTGTCTTCTGTTTTGTAGATGAGTAAGGGTGATGGAACTCCAAGCACTACGTGGCAGCAGCACTGTTATTTCCAAAGCTCTTGTCCTCTGGCTTTAAATCCAGGGTCTTTCGGCTAACAAGAGCTAATTCTGAAAGCTGCTCTGGTCTTCCCTCGTCCCTGCTTTTCCTCAAAGCCAGGTGTAAGTCGCACCATCTGGCTGAATGAGGCCCTCAGGCTTCCTGGAATCTGAGGAATGAACAAAGCAGAGCGAATGATGTGGGAGTTAGAGGCCCGTGGCTGGACTCTGGCGTGAAAAGCTTGGTCGGCGTGGCTGGCATTTTAAACTATCTATGGAGCCCACCTGAGATGGCACCATTCGGCCTAGAGGCATAAGGCCATCGAGGGGAGGCCTGGGGCACAGGGTATGTGCTTCTTGGAAGAGCAGCAGCAGGGCCACCGTTGAAAGAGAGGAAACATCGCATAGAGCACTTGCCAGCTCAGGGGGCTGAGGTAAGAGGCTTACTTGAGCCCAGGAGTTCAAGACCAATTGGGGCAACATAGCAAGACCCCAACTCAAAAAAAAAAAAAAAGGAGGGATAGAGAATTTGCCTATACATTCCACAAAGCACAAGGATGGTCCCCAGAGCAACATTCTAGCCCCAATACCTAGCTCTCCAACAGAAAGGGAACCAGCCACTCAGGCATGGCTGTTTTCTGGCCTCTCCAAAAGCTGCTGTAAATTGCTGGCGTTACTCACAGGCAGCATTTTTTATTTAAGTAGCCTGCCTGCATTCAGCAGAAAATGAATGTGCTCCATCCAGCGAGCAGTTGATCTGAAGGAGGAGCCAAGGGTGAGGAGGCTCAGAGAGGAGGTGGGCCACATTCACTCTGCCCAGGGCTGTCCCCAGAGCTTAGCTACCTTCTCTGGGATGAAGTTAGATCTTAGTGGGATTCCCCATCGTGGCTTCCCCAGAGTCTGCTGGCTCGGCCTGAGCAGTGCAAAGCTCTTCATTTGTGGGTCCAGCAGAGACATGCGTGAGGCTCTGTCACAGCATTCCCCTGCCTCGCTGCCTCTGGCGCAAAGTGAGATCCTTCTGGGGCTTTCTGCGAGCTCCTGACTGGGTTTCTTGGCCAGGAATTCAAGAGACTCTGAAGGCTGCTCTAGTCATCTGTGATGAAGTAAATTCCCCAGGCGGGAAGAAACGACTAGAGTACCCATTCTCCAGCTCCCACTTGCCCTTCAAATGACCTGATTCTTCTGTCTGCTGTGGGTGAAGCCACAAATGGGCATGCTGTGCTTTCATGTACTTGGAAACTGCATCCACTTCGCATTTTTAAAATTCGTTCAACAACTATACTTTTGATCACTTATCATGTATCAGCAATAATTAATTTTTGAAAACCTTGGAATGTGACCATTGGGGCAGGGTTATGCTTTTTGTTTAGGTGAATGTTAGCACAAACTTGCATTTTCTGAGCTGATACTGATTGACTATTTAGGCTGGAGGTGGAAAGATAGTGGACAGAAGGCAGGGGTCAGGGAATCCATCAGGTAGTTCAAAGGGGCCATTTTTGGATGAAAATGTTCACTGTGTGTAGGCCACAGACAGGTCATTGAGAGCTGGCCGTGTCTCCAAGAGCGGATCCGTCATCAGATGACTGTTAGGATTGTTGTCAGCCATGGAGGAATTAAAAAACAAAAACAGAAGAATGGGAGTTCCAATACAAAGGATTGTAGTGAGCCATTTGAATAAGAATATCTGAGTGTATTTCTCAAAAATACTTGTAGAGTGGCTTCCTCTGGAATTGTTTTAAAACAGAGTGGACAGCTTCCCTTTCTGACATTCTACCAGCCAGGGCTGGCATGAGCAGCTGCCTCTGAAGCCCCTGCTGGGCAGCAGCTTATCTAGTTCCTCCTACCTTGACATTCTGATAAGGGAGCTATTCTAGTCAGCAGGGCCCAGGATGGCGGGAACCCTTGCCAAGGGCCGTGCTAAGTTACATGGCGGAGCCAAAGCTTTAACGCGTGACCCTGGAGATCCTGGCTAGTGCTTAAATGTTAACTTCCATTATCATTTGGGACCACGGCAGCCTGAGGGCAAAGGTCACGGATCTTCTGACCAGTTGGCAGGTGGCAACAGCACTTCCTGGTCACCAGGGATCAATCAATGGGGTGGTCAGGTAATATGGGGGAAAGGAAAGGATGAGGGTGAGGGAGACATGCAGGGGTGAGGGAGGGAAGGAGAGAGCAAGTTTGGAGTCTCATTCTCATCCCCTGAGACTTGATGGTTCGGGCTGGGTGTGCCACCCACCCTGCAGGTTTTCTCAGACTTCAGGCACCCCACCGTACAATCAGGGAGATCCAATGCCATCATCCTACATTACTTCCTGCTGCTCTGAAAGAAAAATGGGAGCGGGGTGTGGTGCAAGAACCAAGAGAACCTCAGATGCTTCCTGGGGCCAAACCTGTGTCTCCCCCTCAGAGTGTACCCCCCACTTTCCCAACCCCGGGGCTGACTGCACTGCTTAGCACTTGGTGCCTGGAGCCCCGAGCAGTGGGAGGTGCTGCTTGTGCTCCAGCAAGGGGGCTGTCCAGCAGCGCCAGCAGAAGCCACGGGTGCCAGGCCCCAGCAACCAGCCCACTGGATGTCTCAGTATAAAGGCTTCCCTGGCCAAGTCAGGTTGCTTTGTGAAGTGTCCTTCACCAGATGAACTCTCAAAAATATGCAGGGAGCTCCTACCACAGGTCAGGCCTTGTATAGGCACCTGAGCTAGAAGGTGGGATCTTACACACCAGGCCTGCCCTCCCTCCGAGCTCTCAGACCACTGCCCGGGGTCAGCGGAGCTGCCCAGAGAGATTCCAGCATCAGTGCTGCGAATTCTTAGGGAGAGGCACAGGGGGCCGCAGGGGTGAAGGCAGGCTGCCCTGAGGGGGCAAGGAAGCCTTCTAAGGGGGGTTGAGAAACAGGTTTGCTGGTGACCCAGCGCCTGCCCCCAGCCCTGACCACCTTCCCTTGGTCTCTTTCAGTCCCCCCTGACCCCTCCTAAACATGCATGCTCGGCACGTTTTATTCCCTTTCTCTTCCTCTCCCTGTCTGTCTTTCTTGGTTGGCTTGTTTCCCCTCCATTTTTGTCTTTTTTTCCACTCATCCTGTTCATCATAAGCGCATTCATGCTTCTTTCACTCAACCTCTTTATCTACTACAGTCACTCTTATTTTTTCATTGAACGTTTTGGTATTGAGATGGTGATAGATTCACATGCAGTTTCGGAAATAATGAACAGAGATCTGCCATTCCCTTCATCCAGTTTCTCTCAGTGATAACATCTTGCGAAACTGTAGTACACCACCAAAACGGAAACGAATACCGAACTGGTAAGAAAACAACATTTCCATTGCCACGGAGATCTCTTCTGTGGCCCTTTTATAGCCACGCCCACTTCCCTCCCAGCCCACCCTTTTCTTAACCTCTGGCAACCACTAGTCTGTGTGTGTCATCTCAAGAGTGTTATGTAAGTAGAATTATACAGTATGTAATACGTCATCTTTTGGGATTGGCTTTTTTCACTCCACAAAATTTTCCCGGAGATTCATTCAGGGGCGTGCATGTGTGCTTGTTGGGCGTGTGTGTGTGTGTGTGTGTGTGTGTGTGTGGTTTTTTTTATTGCTGAGTATTGGGAATGTGCCGTAGTGGGAATGCTCCGTAGTGGGAATGTACCACTGCTTGTTGAACCATTCGCTCACTGAAAGGCATCTGGGATGTTTTCACTTGGGGCTATTGTAAATAAAGTTGCGATAAACATTTGTGGACTGGTTCTTACGTGAACACAGGGTTTCATGTCTCTGGGATAGATGCCCGGAAGTGTAATTGATGG